CCTTTGTGTACATCTTGTGTACTGTGCTCTGCCTATCCCAGGTATTGAGCACTGTAGCAGGTTAAGATGCACTGCCATGCATGCATGTATGTACCAGTATGTGTGTATTGTAAATGACGATCGGACATTGTTGGTGTTGTTCACACAGATGCCGTATGAGAACGAAGCGAAGGCTCTCGAGAACAGGAAACACACTCGAATCTCTGCTGCGCTGAAGTCACCTATGAATCGAGGTGTGAATATTATGTGTGTGTGTGTGTGTGTGTTTGTGTGTGTGTGTGTGTGTGTGTGTATGTATGTGTGTGTGTGTGTGTTGGTGTGTGTGTGTATGTGTGTGTGTGTGTGTGTGTGTGTGTGTGTGTGTGTGTGTGTGTGTGTGTGTGTGTGTATGTGTGTGTGTAATGTTCGTAAAGGCTTGCTTTTGCTTTCGTATTCAATGATCTCTTATCGAGAGGGCCTTTTCATTCGTGGATAAAAAGAAGGACAAAATGACGAGTTATGCCACCAAAGTAACCAGATTATATACAGTCAGCGAATGTGACAACAAGGCACAGAACTGACAGGGAGTACTGAGACAGTCAACGACCTGACACCTAGCTCCAACGCATCTACTGGGCGCAAAACAACAACCTTCCAACTTGGAAGGCTCCGGTTAGGAAAGGTCCAATGAGGGGAAGCCCCTCATTGAACCTGTCCTAACCTTGTTGTTGCTCCTCATTGAACCTGTCCTAACCTTGTTGTTGCTCCTCATTGAACCTGTCCTAACCTTGTTGTTGCTCCTCATTGAACCTGTCCTAACCTTGTTGTTGCTCCTCATTGAACCTGTCCTAACCTTGTTGTTGCTCCTCATTGAACCTGTCCTAACCTTGTTGTTGCACTCACTGCCTTATATTATGGTCTGGTTACTTTGGTGGATAGTTTATCATACTTTTAAAATACTTCAGTAAATTCTAACACATTGTCCTTCTTTTTTATCCATGATTACATTGGCTCACCGTCCGAGGTCAAGCTTACCTGTTCATTCCCTCAAACTTATGAATACAAGTAATTGTAAAGAAGATGGATTCATTTTCTCTGTGCTTGGCTGGTGAGCGTGTATAAGATGGGAGAAGAATGCTGGTGCCAGCTGGGAGAGAATGAGGATTTCTCTATCACCTGTACATTCAATTCCTTTGTCTTCCTACCCTCCAGCTGAAACTGAATTTCTTAAACTGATTCCGAAGTGCTATCGGCCCGTGAAACTACGCTATTCAAGATTGGGTGAGTCTGCTCCTGGAGTTGTTACTGTTAACCCTGCTATTGCTGCTCATGATGGTCCTGCTGTTGCTGCTGCTACTAATGCCTCTTGTACGGGCAAAAAGAAATAGATTGAGTAATCAGTAGTGATGCTGCTGCTGTTGCTGCTGCTGCTGTTGCTGCTGCTGCTGCTGCTGCTGCTGCTGTTGCTGTTGCTGTTGCTGTTGCTGTTGCTGCTGCTGCTGCTGCTGCTGCTGCTGCTGCTGCTGCTGCTGCTACCACAAGGACCCGTGCCCAGCCTAGCGACAACAAACTTGCAGAGAACAGCAAACTGCCTTGCAGCACCAGAGACCCATTGATGATGGGCAGATGGTTATGTTTTACACTTTGAATATGAGTGAGGAATTGGCTGCAATGGTACCTCTACCTTGAAGAAATTACTGTGAATTTTCAGTATAAAAAGTGTTACATATAATAGTACTACAAATTATATAACACTGTTTTCGTGTTGTTGTTGTTGTTGTTGTTGTTGTTGTTGTTGCTGTCACCGTGGTCACCATACAGGGCTTGCTGACTTTGATTTCAAGCAGTACAACCACACAAGCTTCTCTGGCTTGGAGATCAACATTCCCAACGCCTACTGTAACTCTATGTTGCAGGTGAGGGACGGGATAGCACACTTACCTACCTCATGCATGATGCCACATGTTGTCTGTGCTTTCACTGGCTTCATACACTACAATACATATACTGTTGTGGACATGGAAATACGGTCGCACGTCTAGCGGCACCAGGGCGCTGGCGATGCAGCCGTGAGTTTTGCGCTGCAGCGCGCTGGTCGCATCGGATCAACATGACTGTGCATTGCATGCAACATTCTGTACGGACTGAGGGTGCCGGCCCCGGTCATTCGACTGGATTTCCATGTCCACAACAGTAGTATGTGAATGTTGGTACAGTCTGTATCGGCTATAGAGTGACCGGATATAAGAATATATCGGCTACAGTGATATTGGTACGAAATATCAAAAGCAAAACGTATTTTATCCAGTAAAAAATATCACTATAACCAATATTATCGGATGTAATGATATATCGGATATTATGATGGCAACAAAGAATCAAAACATGCATAACACACTATATTATTATCGGCTATAGTGATAACTTTAAAATACATGTAGCAATAATATCAAAGGCCCTATGTTTTTACTTTCTTCACGTTGCTTATTTTTATTGTGATACATGTACATGTACATAACAGAATTTTTTTATGGAAAGGCGGGCACTAGTGCACTAGCAGCACTAGCACTAGTAGCGCACTGTCAACTATGCAGCATGCTCATTTGTCAAAACGCCATGCTGAGAAGTATTTCCTTGCCTTTCATGTGTCGATCGAAAAAAAATCAAAATCGATCGTATCGCGTATAGTGATGCATCGGTTATAGTGATAAAATCACGGAAATCAAAAGGGTACGCTATAGCCGATACAGACTGTACATGTAGTTAGTTTTGAATGTTGGAAGTGGGTTTTGAATGTCGGAATTGGGTTTTGAATGTTGGAAGTGCGTTTTGAATGTCGGAATTGGGTTTTGAATGTCGGAAGTGGGATTTTGAATGTCGGAAGTGGGGTTTTGAATGTCGGAAGTGGGGTTTTGAATGTTGGAAGTGGGTTTTGAATGTCGGAAGTGGAGTTTGAATGTCGGAAGTGGGGTTTTGAATGTCGGAAGTGGGGTTGTGAATGTCGGAAGTGGGTTTTGAATGTCGGAAGTGGAGTTTGAATGTCGGAAGTGGAGTTTGAATGTCGGAAGTGGGGTTTTGAATGTCGGAAGTGGGGTTGTGAATGTCGGAAGTGGGTTTTGAATGTCGGAAGTGGAGTTTGAATGTCGGAAGTGGAGTTCGAATGTCGGAAGTGGGTTTTGAATGTCGGAAGTGGGGTTTTGAATGTCGGAAGTGGGGTTGTGAATGTCGGAAGTGGGTTTTGAATGTCGGAAGTGGAGTTTGAATGTCGGAAGTGGGGTTTTGAATGTCGGAAGTGGGGTTGTGAATGTCGGAAGTGGGTTTTGAATGTCGGAAGTGGAGTTTGAATGTCGGAAGTGGAGTTTGAATGTCGGAAGTGGGGTTTTGAATGTCGGAAGTGGGGTTGTGAATGTCGGAAGTGGGTTTTGAATGTCGGAAGTGGAGTTTGAATGTCGGAAGTGGAGTTTGAATGTCGGAAGTGGGTTTTGAATGTCGGAAGTGGGGTTTTGAATGTCGGAAGTGGGGTTGTGAATGTCGGAAGTGGGTTTTGAATGTCGGAAGTGGAGTTTGAATGTCGGAAGTGGAGTTTGAATGTCGGAAGTGGGTTTTGAATGTCGGAAGTGGGGTTTTGGACGTTGGTAGTTGTCCCAGTGCTTCACACCGCATCTTTTCTTGGCACACCAATTGTTGGATCCATGCAGTCCTCACTGTTAGACCCATGCAGTCCTGACTGTTAGATTCACGCAATCCTCATTCTTACTATTACATGCTGCTGTCCGCTTGTAAGTGTCCAATGTCCATGCACTTCTATGTTGATCTGTACGAACTGCACAACATGTGACTTGATTGTCAACACTACCTGTTGGCTAGGATAGCTTGTTCTGTGTTCGTTGCCAAGTCCTGAGTGCGGCGGTGTCTGTAGCGTGGACCTCACTACGTGTATGTATATCCCCCCCCCCCTGTGTGTGTGTGCCTGTGTGTGTCTTTGTGGGTGTGTATGTGTGTGTGTGTGTGTGTGTGTGTGTGTGTGTGTGTGTGTGTGTGTGTCTGTGTCTGTCTGACTGTGGGTGTGTGTATGGGTATGTGGGTGTGGGTGTGGGTGCGTGGCCTTGTTTTGTATGCGTATGGCTTTGCTGGACAATAGGTGTTCTACTTCTTGGAGCCTCTGAAGATCTCGATGCAGAACCACTTCTGTGAGAAAAATGCGTGTTTGGCTTGTGAGCTTGGTTTTCTCTTCAACATGCTGGATGTTAGCAAAAGCGAGCCTTGTCAGGTAAGATATGCAAAGAGTAGACATCTGACATGCGTGTGTGCGTGCTCACCCGCATGTATGCACACACGCAACCACACACACACACACACACACACACACACACACACACACACACACACACACACACACACACACACACACACACACACACACACACCTTGACCTTTTGACGCCCATCGCCGGAGGCGATGATAGCAATGCTACGGCAGAAGCCATAGCAACTTGTGCTGGGATTGCACCATTCAACAGCTTGCAAGGCTTAAGAATTGACCGTCACTTCAAATAGCTGTATGGTGTAGACCAGGCTGAATAGTGACGGTCACACACCTTGACCTTTGACGCCCATCGCCGGAGGCGATGATAGCAATGCTACGGCAGAAGCCATAGCAACTTGTGCTGGGATTACACCATTCAACAGCTTGCAAGGCTGAAGAATTGACCGTCACTATTCAGCCTGGTCTACACCATACAGCTATTTGGAGTGACATTTTCTGGCCAGTGAATCCCTATTTTTGGTCTTTTCATTTTTTTTTTTTTTTTTCCCGCACACACATCACACCACATACTCCGGCATGCACTGGCTGTTGGTAACCACCCAGGAGAATGAAAGAAAAGTCAGGAAGAGTCTGAGAAAGAGAAGAAAGACGTGTGTGACCATAATCGTCGGGAATCGAACCCGCAATCTATCGATTGGAAATCGCTGCACATACCACTGCACCATATGGGACACACACGGTCACACACACGGTCACACACACACACACACACACACACACACACACACACACACACACACACACACACACACACACACACACACAGTGTGACACACACACACACACACACACACACACACACACACACACACACACACACACACACACACACACACACACACACAAGCACATACACAAGAGAGCGTGTGTCTGCATGTTGAGGAATCACTTTGAATGCTGCACCTTCCGCCTAAATTTTTTCACTGGGTCCTGTTGGCTTTTCGTGTACGTGCGTGCATGCGTGTGTGTTCTTGTTTTGTTTCCCTCCCTATCTCTTGTTCAGGCCAGTAACTTCTTGCGTGCCTTCCGTTGCTTACCCGAAGCCGGAGCTATGGGATTGCTGTTCAAGAAGGATGTGGACGCATCCACACAACTCAGCGAGATCATCCAGCGTTGGAGTCGCTTTGTTCTGCAACAGCTAGTGAATGACACGGAGCCACGACAGCCGGAGTCAATGCAGTTTCCTCCCCTGCCGCAGCGGGCCTCCATAGTCAACAAGCTCTTCACTGCAGCGTTCCAAACCTACATCACGTGCAAGGAGTGTGGGAGTGAGGAGAACAAACCTTACACCACACTGCAGTGGTCAGTCACCTATCCACGTGCTCGCCTAGATGGTAAGTGACACTGTGCACGTGTATGCACGTGTGCTTGGGTGTGTGTGTGTGTGGGGGGGGGGGGGGGGGGTGCTTGGGTGGATATGTATGCACTTGTGTGTGCGGGTGTGGGGGAGGGGGGGGGGGGGGGGTCTCTTTTCTCTCCCTGTCTCTGTGAGACCCAGGGGTAGCTAATTGTTGGCAGCGAGCCAGGGTGCGTGTGTGCATATTATGCCCACATGCACCGTATAATGTGTATGTGTACCGGTATGTTTGTGTGTGTGTGTGTGTGTGTGTGTGTGCGTGTGCGTGCATGCATGCATCCAGACCCTAGTGCAAGCAGTTCTAGCACAAGCGGCACCAGCAGTCGACCAGTGCCGCGAACGTTCAGTGAGGTGCTATGCGGCAGCATACTGCGGGAGCAAGCCACACAATCATTCTGTCAGACGTGCAAGAAACATCAGCCATCGGTAGGTAGTTACTAGTACACTCTACTCTACTTGTACACTCTACACTCTACTCTCTACACTCTACACTCTACACTCTACACTCTACACTCTACACTCTACACTCTACACTCTACACTCTACTCTCTACACTCTACACTCTACTCTCTACTCTCTACACTCTACACTCTACACTCTACTCTCTACACTCTACACTCTACACTCTACTCTCTACACTCTACACTCTACACTCTACACTCTACTCTACTTGTACACTCTACACTCTACACTCTACTCTCTACACTCTACTCTCCAGTTACTGAACTTGAGTGTACGTGTCCCTGTGCTGCTGTCGAGAGCAAGATTTATAATGTAGGTTTGCAGCGTACGGCAAACCGTAGTTATCGCTGACAACTGAGCAGCAGGCAAAAGCCACACGCGCGGCTAGGCGCGCAACAATGGGGGTGTCTGGCATGCAATGGCGAGCAGCCGTACTGGGGAAAGCCCAGGCCGCAGTACGAGTACGCCCATATGCGCGGGCGAGACTACCCCATATTTGCATAAAGGTATCAGCGCTACTAATGCAATGTTTACTACAAGCCGGGCTCATGGCGCCTAATCTCTATATTAGGAAGCAGTTCCTTTCATGGCACGAAAGGACTCCAGCGCGCGTACTAAGCCTCAGCCAAGGTACAGTACTAACCGAATATGCAAGATAGAACAGGCGGTGTGGCGGAGCAAACATACCGCGTATGGAAGAGGTGAAGTCCCCGGATGCCGCCCGGTCCACAATGACAGACACCACCATGCTTATATGGGAAATAAGGCGCGAGAGCCCACCAGGTAAGGCGGGCCGCATACGCACGTGGCAAGCACAAATAGCGTAAGACGTACCCACGAGGCCACAACGCGAGAGCTAGAGTACGGCAGCATGAGCAGAGTACGAAAGTACGATGCCGGGTCAACGCAGGGCGGACCAAGGTGTGGTAGTGCCACAGCACGAGGCAGCTCAGCAGTTGGAGTTGGCGAACGCAGGGACAGCATCAATATTGGCAGCTAGCAGCAGCAGATGGGCGTGATTTTTTTTTTTCTTCAAGACTAGCAACGAGGAGCAGCAGGCAACCCTCGTTTCACTCGTGATTGCTTAATCACATGGCAAAAAAAACAAAAATGCAACCCCATTCTATGGTGCTATGATGTGTGTGTCTCGGGGGGGGGGGGGGGGGGGGGGGATGGGGCGATAATTCTTGCTTTGGGCTGGCCAGTTTTGTCTGTCTTGAAATGAAATACAGTCAGACCTCGCTTAACCGCACACATCCGTTTTCCACAAAAAGTAACCGGATGGACGAGGGAACCGGATAATCAAACACACATACTGTATGTATGCATGGCATATGCTGTAAATCAGTAACCAACGATTTTCTTCCGGATGGCGAGGGATCCGGATAAGCGAGGCCTGACTGTAGATGCAATGCCAAGTCCAAACACGATCTAAGTACAGCACTAATACTCCGAAGCATTAAAAAAGGATGCCTAAGTTAGGGTTGACAAATCTCTTATTTATTTCTCTGCACCGAGCCTCCAGGTTTGGTGTTTAGTTGTGAAGTGAAGCTTCTGCTCAAGTGTGTTCTGAAAGACAGGTGAATAGCTAAGGGTATAGAAGTATTGATAGAGCATGTGTGTGTGTGTGTGTGTGTGTGTGTGTGTGTGTGTGTGTGTGTGTGTGTGTGTGTGTGTGTGTGTGTGTGTGTGTGTGTGTGTGTGTGTGTGTGTGTGTGTGTGTGTGTGTGTGTGTGTGTGTGTGTGTGTGTGTGTGTGTGTGTGTGTGTGTGTGTGTGTGTGTGTGTGTGTGTGTGTGTGTGTGTGTGTGTGTGTGTGTGTGTGTGTGTGTGTGTGTGTGTGTGTGTGTGTGTGTGTGTGTGTGTGTGTGTGTGTGTGTGTGTGTGTGTGTGTGTGTGTGTGTGTGTGTGTGTGTGTGTGTGTGTGTGTGTGTGTGTGTGTGTGTGTGTGTGTGTGTGTGTGTGCACACTGTGCGTTTGTGTGACGGTTCCCTACAATAGAGGCAAATACGTACCCTACGACGCATGCCCCACGTATTGTGCATCAACTGCCAGGCTGATAGCCCTTCGGAGCAGGAATTCTGGAGACAACAACAGCAGGTCAGTGATGCCTGACATATGTGTGCTGGTTGGCTAGCTTTTTGTTAATTTACTTACCGTGTTTTCGGAGTACAAGCCGCACTTTTAGCACCAGTAAATCACCCAAAAAAAAGACTTATTTCGATGGTCAAATTAGCGGTGATAAACTGGGTGGATATCTGTATTTTGTGACAAAAATGTGGGTGCGGCTTTTACTCGGGAAAATATGGTGAACTAAGTAGAGATACTCAACAACACGATGTTCTTATTACAAAGCACCCTACTAATTTTACAGAAGCCGACCAGGCATCATGACTTTGCACATCTATCGTTATGCTGCTTCACTACGTGACCTGTTTTATTATTATTATTATTACCCTACATGTACATATAGGTGGGAGTAGCATTGTGCTTGGGAGTGTTTGCCTGTATCAGCAGAGGGTGTGTTACGATGTGCTGGTACTGAAGTGCAGGACCAGGCAAGTACACGCACACACTTACTACATTGGAATGTGTTGAAGTATGAACCCCTCTACTCACTGCAATGCAATACTTATGAAATGGACAGGTATGGTTTGTACCTATATTCCATTGCATGCTGCAGTCAGTGTAGATCTACGTGCAGCTGATACAGTGTGCATGTATCGTGTGTTGTTTCTGCTGTTCTTGCATAGCTGGTTCTCGAGGAGTTGGAGACGAATAGAGGGACAGCGTGAGTGCCATGCAAACACACACACACACAAACACACACACACACACACACACACACACACACACTCACCACACCACACATTACATGCAGTTCTGCCGAATCGTCGAATGTAGACACGGTCCGAAAATCCACCTTCGTCCTAAACCAATCTGAACGAGCCTTCAGGATTTCGACAGAAACTGCAAAGATTGTACTCTATGTACTAGCACAGTATGTATGTGTGACAGTATAGTGGTGGTGCTGACTACACTCATGCTACCCTATGACACAAGATAGAATGTCCAGTCGCTTCGTGTATGGAGAAGGTGTCCGGTTTCGGATGAAATGTCCTGGGCATCACAGTACATGTATGCCTGGCTGTGACAGCAACATGATAGAGTGTCACTGACTCACTGGGTACTGCACTAGTAGTAGCTCATGTACTACATGTGCAACTCCAACTTGTGAAGGAAGCATATTGTTCCTGTTTTCCCCATTGAGCTGATTCGGAACATATTTCATTAGACCTTTATTCACATGGTTTCGTTGTTTTCAACGTTTGAGTCATCATGACCATCGTCAGGCCTGTCGTGTTTCGGCCGATGTTGCTGGCAAGCTTTTTTAAAACATTTTATGTGCCAAGTCCTTTAATTCAGACATTTTGTTTGGTTGACTGTTTCGACAGAGGTCCTCACGGTCAGCAGTTACTATGGAAATCATGGCTACCGACGTCACTGCGTATCTCTCAGAAAGGCGATGATCTTCGCGTTGAAGACTGCAGCACATTGGTAGGAGGGGAAAGGAGACGTATGTGTGTGTGTGTGTGTGTGTGTATGTGTGTGTGTGTGTGTGTGTGTGTGTGTGTGTGTGTGTGTGTGTGTGTGTGTGTGTGTGCTCTCTCTCTCTCTCTCTCTCTCTCTCTCTCTCTCTCTCTCTCTCTCTCTCTCTCTCTCTCTCTCTCTCTCTCCCGTACCCTCACCCTCCCTGCCTCTGCTTGTGTAATGTGTGTGCACGTGTGTGCCGGTATCTGTGTGTTATCTGTACTTGAATAATCCTGTGGATTGTTCCTGGTTTTCCCCTTTCCATTCCTCAACTAGTAAATGTTGTTCCTGGTATTAGAATTATGTTATGTAAAACTAACCATGGCCTTCTTGCTGGAAACTCTTTTTTGATGTCATTGTCACATGGGTGATCCTGTAGTAGCAATAGTGGATGATGTCATTGCCATGTGGAGCACATGTAATTGTACTTGTGCCTGTGATGATGATTAGCGATGTTAGCGATGATGTCATCAAGCTGTGTTTTGTATTGGGGCCGGTGCGTTTGGCACGCTGCTGCAGGATGGTCCGCAGGATCAGCGATTTCAGTCTCCAAAGTCCGATATCTACTATGACCTGATCTCGTCAGTTGCATACGTCAAGGACACTCAGTCACCTGGAGCGCTAGTAGCACATGTCAAAGTCTCCTCTAACTACCATCGCAAGAAAGAGGTGAGTTGCTGTCCTTGTCGTCGCCATTGTTGCTTTCTGTACTAAATCATGTTTGTATTTTTCACCGTCCAATAGCAACAAGCCAATGCTTATGTAGGGGGGGGGGGTAACAAGTTATGGTCCAGGAAGCTGTCACTGCGACCAGTGCGACAGATGGTTCCGGAGCAAGAGCGGATTTGGCCGACACAAGTGCTCACCGGTAACATCAGCAGCAGAAGCATCTTCTGACACACTGGAGTCACCAGTTACAAACAACATGTCCTGCGAACGTTGCAGTTTCCACTGCGCCCGCTGCAACCGCTATGTGCTATCGCGCCAAGGCATGAAGCGTCACAAGTGCAGCCGTGGCTCGGCCAGAGCAACCAACACAGACCGTAGCTCCTTCTGCATCGTTTGCAATTGCGGTCGGCGTTTCAGTGGACCACAGGACCTATCCCATCTCCGCCTCTACTGTTCCAAACCTGCTCCCCCCCCCCCCCCCCCATGGGGCCCGCATAGCCAGAATATGGCAGCATTTCCAAGGTCCAAGGTATGTGTGTGTGTGTGCGTGCATGCGTGCGTGTGTGTGTGTTAACTTCAGAATGTTGACCAGACCCAGTGGTATATCTTCAATGACTTTGCCGTCAACCCTGTAGCACAGGTGAGTGATCACTCAGCACACCTACAAGTACTACATGTACTACATGTAGTACACATAGCACATCTACTACATGTGTGGCAGTCATTGCGAGGGGACAACATACCAGCTCGAGTGTTGCTACTCTCACATAATAAATGCACTGTACTGCTCAATGCAATCTGATCAAGGGAGTGAATGCCACGCCGGGCGCTGTGAATCCTTAGGCCCCGGTCACACCGAAACGAGCCACTTTGGGCTTGTTATCGCTGGCGCTCAGCTGGCTTGCGTGATCCCTGTGACACGGTCACACCAGACCTTGAGTGCAAAGCTTGAATGGCTTGTTTTTCTTACCCGCCAAATTTTGAATATCTCGAAACACACTAATGTTTGCAAGAAACTGGAGAGCAGAACGTTCGCGATCTAAAACTGTACTTGTTCTAGTGTTCAGTTTTGATGAAGAAGCAAAGGAAGCCCGGATTCTGAATTGCGAAGTCGTGCTCTTTTTATTTGTTCGGTGTGCATGGACGCGATGGTTCGGGTGGTGTTTCCTGATGTCGAGCTTTCTGCCCCGCCGGTTGCCGTTATTGAACTCAGTTGCAATCCACTCTCTTTTTCGTACCCGGCTTTCTTCATGAATTCGGTCGTGAGTGTGGTGCCTTGTCTTGGCCTCAAACCACAGCTCCAACAATCTACGCAGCAGTCTAGAGGCACAGCGGCAGAAATCCATGGTCGTCGGACAAAATCCAAATCAAACTGAATACAGTGTAGTTGGGGTAGACAGACTCACGGTCAAAACCAAAGGCACAGGGAATCCCCCGGATAGCACGGTTCCACGGACACAAGAAAGAACATCAATATCAGTTCATCATGTCAACTAGCTACATGGTGTGCTCCGGAGCTCCAAGCGCACTCAAATTATTTTTTGAATTTCGGCTTTCAGCCGCTTGTACAAGCTGTGGCTGAAACAAGCCGAAAAAAACGGCTGAGAGTCAGCCACGGCTGAAAGTCGCTTGTAGGACATTTTTCAGCCATTTCCATGGTAATAGTGACGTAAACAAGCGCTTTTTTCGGCTGAACGGCTGAATCGAGCTCGGTATGACCGCGGCCTTAGACCTGCGAACACTGGCATAGTGAACTGGTGCAGGGCACACACTTGACTTGACTCACACGTTCAGAGTTCATTAAGCAGCAGCACTGTAGTGTAATGACCATTTGAAATACCTACTGTGTGCATCATACTCATCACTGCCTCTCTTTGCTATTTGTCTGTAAACTCCAAAGCAGTCACCATACATGTAGTCTGTTCCATAAATACTTATGTACTGGTTCATTGGTTCATTGGTTCATTGGCATTCATATGTATACCCTGATGATAGGCCAAGCCTGAACATTTGCTGAGATTTAAAGATAATCGCAGTAAAGAGACCATTTTCGGAGTTGAAGAGAAGAGGTAATCATGGATGTTTCTCTTTGCTTGAGTATAACTTGATGTAAATATGTTTTGTTGATCTTCAGGACTCTGCCGTTGACTTTGCTGATGCGTGGAAAGTGCCCTGTGTTCTCTTTTATGCGCGGCGTGACTTGAATCACCTCTACGATCTATCAGGTACAATTAGTATAATTCCTATGCAATTTAGTATACCGTATATTCTCTATTATAAGCACAGGTCTCCATTACTAGCACAGTCTCTAATACTAGCACACTGTGAGCACCTTTCGAAACATTATAAGCACAGTCTCTATTATTAGCACGGTGCTGGTGGAAATCAATGCTGCATGCATGATATCTAGCATGTATGTCTTCTTGCTCTGTATGGATGTATAGGTTGAAAAAATATAAGCACGGTCTCCTATATAAGCGCGGTCTCCAATATAAGCACGGGGTAGAGGGGTGTTGAAAAAATAGAAGCACGGCGCTTATAATAGAGAATATACGGTACCTGTATGGCTGCCGTGTATCATCGCTGAAACTGAAACATGCTTCTGAGTGAGGCTACGTGCCTCTCCTTGACTTCTCCACTTCTCTTCACACGTATTTCTTGTCTGAATCTCTCTCTCTCTCTCTCTCGCTCTCTCTCTCTCTCTCTCTCTCTCTCTCTCTCTCTCTCTCTCTCTCTCTCTCTCTCTCTCTCTCTCTCTCTCTCTCGCTCGCTCGCTCTCTCTCTCTCTCTCTCTCTCTCTCTCTCTCTCTCTCTCTCTCTATCTATCTATCTATCTATCTATCTCTATCTGTGTGTGTGTGTGTGTGTGTACGTTGCAGTACGACAACATCAAAACCCCAATGTCCTGGTAGCAGCATTGCCCCGGGCTAACCCAGCACTGTCTCAAGTAGTGCCTCCAGTGCGTGTTTTGCAAGTAGATGAGCTGCCACAACGACGTGCTCTCTTTGGCCTCGACGCAGAGTTCGTTGTGCTCAATCAAGTAGGTGTCTGTTTTGTGCAAGCATGTTTGCATCTGCCCTCCTGCTGCTGCTCCTGCTGCTGCTGCTGCTGCTGCTGCTGCTGCTGTCCATGCAGGCACCTAGGTAGTACAGTAAAACCTGTGTTTGCCCGACCCTGCACCCCCTGCACCAAGCCGAATCCTGTATTACCGGACAAATGTTCATGCACCAAAGTGCTGTGGATCGAACGTGCATCCCTGGATCAAGCGGAATCCTGTCATCGTATCAGGACGGTTTACACTGCACCAAGCCCAGGGCGTCCGGTTAGGCCAGGTTTCCTGTATGGAGAAACAGCGTCAGTCTCAACTACCCTGGATAGAACATGTTTTTCTCTTTGCATTGGATATTAAGTACTTTTTGTCAGGACCTTCAATATCCTGTGTATCCTTTCCCAGTCATTCAGCCTTGGATATACAGTACCTGGGCTGTTAAGTACTGAAGTGCAGGTTAATGTTCCCTGTAGGCATGTTGCACTGCACTGTTCCACTGTGCAATGTACAATAGAGTGCTTGCCAATGAACTTGAGAAGGCATCCCTGGGTATTTAAAAGCGTCTTGCACACTGTTGGCCCGTGTTGGGTACAAGTGTGAAGCGTCTTGCACACTGTTGGCCCGTGTTGGGTACAAGTGTGAAGCGTCTTGCACACTGTTGGCCCGTGTTGGGTACAAGTGTGAAGCGTCTTGCACACTGTTGGCCCGTGTTGGGTACAAGTGTGAAGCGTCTTGCACACTGTTGGCCCGTGTTGGGTACAAGTGTGAAGCGTCTTGCACACTGTTGGCCCGTGTTGGGTACAAGTGTGAAGCGTCTTGCACACTGTTGGCCCGTGTTGGGTACAAGTGTAAATGGGTCATTGCTGCATGAAAACTGCGGCACTCTACCCTTTCTTGTGTTGGAAGCTAAGCTAAAACAATCTCTCCAAGAATTTCTGCCTCGGAACTTTTCTTATGCATGCGTACTGTACGATGCAGTTGAGTTAGTACAAAGGTGCAAATAATTGTAGCACTGCTGGTGTGTGTGTGTGTGTGTGTGTGTGTGTGTGTGTGTGTGTGTGTGTATGTGTATGTGTGTGTTACGTTACTGCACTACAGGAAGAAGCAGAGCTTGCTATTGATGGCACCAAGACCACTATCAAACCTAGCTGCTTGAGCTTGGCGAGAATAACGGCAGTCAGAGGTGGGAACAAGTTACATGGTGTTCCGTTTATTGATGATCACATTGCTACGACAGAACCGGTAAGTCACCCTCCAGCCTGCTGCTGCTTTTGCTGTCCCCACTGCTGCTGGCCCACTGCTGGCACATTGGAAATAAGTGGGAATGGAAGTAGAATAAATTGTATCAGTGTGAATGTGAATGTGTGTGTGGGGCGGGGGGAGGGGGTTGGGTATGTATGTGTGTGCGTGCGCGCGCGTTTGTGTGTGTGTGTGTGTGTGTGTGTGTGTGTGTGTGTGTGTTGAACAGTGTCTTGAACCGTGCCTTGAACCGTGCCTTGAACCGTGCCTTGAGCAGTGCCTTTGGCCGTACCTTGAACTGTGCCTTGAGCAGTGTCTTGAACATTGTTTTGAACTTTTGATCTTTGACCACTTAGTGCTGGTTGTGAGGCTGATCTACTCACCCCAATGATTTAGGAGATGTGTCCGACACCTTGTTTCTCCAGATAGGTGATGTACATTGACAGTATCTAAGCAATACGTAAGCATGCAGAAAAAGTCTTTTTGAGTGGCTTTCAAGAGATCTTGTTTGGTGTTGTTGCTGTATGGATAATCACATTATTGCATATTGCCTTGCTGGTGTATGTGTGTATGTGTGCATGTATGTGTAGGTTTGTAAAGACAGTTGTCTAAAGTCCCTAGGTTGCTCATCACATCCTTTTCCTCTTATAATCACGCTGATTTTGTCATCCCTTTTCCTCGCGCTATTGAAATGTACCTCCATCACCTTTGCCCCCTTCTCCCCTTCTCCGTATATATATTCTAGTGATTGTTAGTCTTGGTCATATGCTGTCTGATGAAGTGTTCTGACACGAAACTCGGAGTAACAGCGGAATGAGACTTGTTTGATTCATTGCTGTGTAATATTTGTATGTTTGTATATGTGTGTGTGTGTGTGTGTGTGTATGTGTGTGTTTGTGTGCAGCATGTGTGTGTGTGTGTGTGTTTGTGTGCAGCATGTGTGTGTGTGTGTGTGTGTGTGTGTGTGTGTGTGTGTGTGTGTGTGTGTGTGTGCGTGCGTGCGTGTGCGTGCGTGTGTGTGTGGGGGGGGGGTGTGCGTGCGTGTGTGTGTATGTGTGCGTGTATATGCATGTGTGTACGTGTGTACGTGTGTACGTGTGTGTGTGTGTACGTGTGTACGTGTGTAGGTTGTGGATTACCTCACGAAATACTCTGGCATCAAACCGGGTGACCTTGATCCAAACGTCTCCAGTAAGCATCTGGTCACATTGAAGCAGGCCTATCGCAAGTTGAAGTTCCTGGTCGATTGTGGTGTGTGCTTTGTGGGGCACGGATTGAAAAGTGACTTCCGCGTCATCAACATGCTTGTTAGTGCTTCCTTGGTTTCTTGGTCGTGCAGTGCGTGTGCGTGTGTGCGTGTGTGTGTGTGTGTGTGCGCGTGCGCGTGTGTGTGTGCGTATGTGTGTGTGTGTTGCCTCGTCTTTTAGTAGGGTTCCCTGTAATGAGGCCATGCCTGTTGGGACTCCCCTAGCCATACCGGTATATTTTAAACTCCACTACTACTCTACAAGTAAAATGTATGCAGCGGTAGTCAGCTTGGAATCAGGAGGTTATCCCGTTACATGCTGTCCCCTGTAATGCTGGTGTGCCTAGCATTTTGGACCCCAAATCCCTAGATTGAAACTGCTGAAGTTCAAGGATTTTGATGAGTACAGGATAAAGGCTAGAAAGTAGTGCTGCGTCGGGTAGCATTTTCTTCGGGTATCGGGTTCGGGTAGTTTTCCACGGGTAGCACGGGTGCCCGATCGGGTAACACCACGATGCACCCCTTCCCTTGCACACTGGGTATAGACATGCGGAGTATTACATGAATTTGTACATGTGCACTGTACATGATGGTTTTTTTGGATGAACGGTTTTATTAATACTGTAGTCTCACTGTATACAAGAATGCTAAACGAAAGCAGAACGGTAGCCAACAACTCAACAAAATTAATTAATAATCACTTGGTGCAAAAATAAGAAAAGAAAATTATAACACCCGAAAGCGCTAAATACAAAGTCAAGAAAAGGGGAAATCATAAACCACGTAGCGCTAAATGTGTAATAAACCGAGTGAAAAACCCAGGAAATAAAAAAATAGAAAAAATGTTACTAAGCGAAAAGAATACAGTCATGTAACAGGAGATGCAGGTTAACCCAGACGACACTCAGAATACACAAGCACTGTACATGATGTCATCTGCGACTTCGGGTTTTCTGGTACTATTCTGTACCCGATTACCCGAGGTCCTCACGGGCAGCACGGGTACCCGACTGCCCGTGCACACCACTACTAAAAGGGGCACACGCAAAGTTAGAGCGCAATCTAACCTATGAAAGACGGGGACATTTTTGCCGGCAGTTCAAATTTCATCTAGCGTTTACAGAGATGCACGGTGTAACGTTATCAGACTATCAGTACATGATGCCTCTCACCGACTGTACCGTGTACATGCAGGGTTCTAGCCAGGTCAAAATACAGTCTACTCGCGATAAGTCACGCACAGTGTCCTGGAACAGAAAATGCGCGACTTACCGCGAGTGCGTGACTTACATTATGCACCATGTCATGCATATGTACAGCCGTCATTTTTTCTTCTGCATAATTATGGACATGTGTGCTGAACACGCGTACAAGCACTGAGCTGCATGCGCACGTCGTTACACTCTCTAGTCTGTATTGAACACTGACTGTGCACTACTGTGGTACACTGTACACTGTACACTGCTGTACACGAGACGTAGATCTACCACAGCGTGAAGCCATGATCGATAATGAAGAAGGCATGATCGAGAAAGACAAGTAACGACGTAATGTCGTTCCGTTAGTTTTGGTAGAGATTTGACAAGACGCACTTCTGTTTCCGTCGTGCAACACTTCGTTTCCCTTTGCTTGACGATGCCTTCTCATAAGAAAACGAAAGAACAGCGAACAGTGGCTGATCGACTGCGTTTGGTTCGTCTCTATCGTGAGAGTGGAAAAACGTCCGCTCGAAAATTTGCGAAGTTGAACAATGTTCCGGAGGCGATGTTCCGCGGCTGGCTGAGGGATGCTGAAGCTGGCAAACTCGCCGATGCTAATCCGTCTTGTCCACAGGGAGTCCGCAACAGAAGTTCCCAGTTCGGGAAAATTGAGGAGCGGCTAGTGAAGTATATTTTGCTTCGAAGGGAGAAGTTTGTGACTGACAAACTTGGATTGTCGTGGGTGATCCTGTCAGGATGGGAGAAGGCTCTCATACAAATATGCACATAATACATGTAATTATATTCTTACCTTTACAGTATTCAAGCTCCATCATTGAAAACCACATCATTCGCAAATATTCACGAAATCCACAAAATCCCGAAAAATAAAAAAATTCTTGAGATGGGTGTCCTGGATGAAAAAGTGCGTGACTTATCGCGAGTGCGTGACTTAAAAGTGCGTGACTTATCGCGAGTAGACTGTAGTAGGGCGGGGGGGGGGGGGGGGGGGGCATGGAAAACAGTTACCCCGTAACCCATTCTTCCATTTTCAAAATACTCTTATTTCAGAAATTTTCGGTGCTCAATATTTTCGGTATGAGAGCAAAAGGCTAGGTTAGGTGAACTGAAATTTTCGGTACAGGGAAGCAGTTCCCCATTGGATTATACGTGTTAGTGTTTGTTCGGTGTATTGAAATTTTAGGTATGAAACAGATGCACCGAAAGTACCGAAAATAAAAGTACACCGACAATTTGTGAAATTACAGTAACTGTCTTGCAATGCGAAATGCGTGAGTGAGCCGGGCGAACACATGACTTCACCCCAGACAAATGCGCCTTTATGAACCCCTCTACTACTTATGCATGTACTGACTATCGACTGCATTTTCGTTGAATAGCATGAAAAACACAAAAATCGGAAAATGAGTAGGGGCACTTTTTCACAGGGGGGAGTTCGCTGCGTCCCCCCCCCCCCCCCCCCTTTGGCTAGAACCCTGACATGTCATGTGCAGTGTCCGAGCAACCAACTGTAGCCTGCATGCCAATAGAGTGAATGTAGTGCGACTCAATATGCCGTATTATCTCTAATATAAGCACAGTCTCCAATAATAGCACGTCTCCAATAATAGAACACCTTGGGGCGGCATTCAAAAAATAAAGTGCTCAGTCTCCATTATAAGCACACTGTGTAAATTCATTATCTGTACCGGCGAAAAAAAAACCCTGAAATGTGTGTGCCATGCATGAATTTGGCATGGCAACATGCCTCTGAAATGAGGTTGAAATAATAATGGAACAGTCTCCAATAAAGGAACGTCTTCATTAATAGCACGGGGCAGGGTACATTGAAAAAATAAAGGACCGTGCTTATATTAGAGATAATACGGTGTGTGTGTTCATAACTTCATGTGTATTTATGTTTGTGTGTGCATGTATGCATGCAAGTGTGTGTGTGTGTGTGTGTGTGTGTGTGTGTGTGTGTGTGTGTGTGTGTGTGTGTGTGTGTGTGTGTGTGTGTGTGTGTGTATCTGTGTGTGTGTATGTCTGTGTTCAATTGGTCTTGCTGTGAACTAGATACCTGCAGAACAGGTACTGGACACGGTGGAGCTCTTCCACTTGCCTAACCAGCGCTATATATCACTCAAATTCTTGGCATGGTTCTTCTTAAGTAAGTTGAAGGTAGTGCACGCTTGTGTCTGCTTGAGGGAGAGGGAGACAGAGACAGACAGACGAACGGACGGGCAGACAGGGAGGGAGAGAGGGGGAGAGGGAGACAGAGACAGAGACACAGAGAGAGTAAGTTACATTTATAAAGACAGGTAAGTCTAACAAATGAGGACTGAGACCTCTACAACAGGGTTTTTGATTTGAGACAGAGAGAGAGAGAGAGAGAGAGAGAGAGAGAGAGAGAGAGAGAGAGAGAGAGAGAGAGAGAGAGAGAGAGAGAGAGAGAGAGAGAGAGAGAGAGAGAGGGGGGAGGGGGAGGGGGAGGGGGAGGGGGAGGGGGAGGGGGAGGGGGAGGGGGCGGGGCGGGGGGGGGGGAGGGGGAGGGGGAGGGAGGGAGGGAGGGAGGGAGGGAGAAAGGGAGGGAGGGAGGGAGGGAGAAAGGGAGGGAGGGAGGGAGGGAGAAAGGGAGGGAGGGAGAGAGAGAGAGAGAGGTTTACCATTCTAATTTTAAGTGGTGGATCAAGGCTGCATGTTGTTTCTTCATGAATTTCTCTGCAGATGTCCACATCCAGCTTGTGGTGCACGATAGTATCGAGGATGCACTGACCGCCGTCACTCTCTACCGACGCTACGTGCACCTTCGTCGCCAGAACCAACTGACCGACGCCATAAAGAAGCTGTACGAGGCCGGCCGCAAGCACAACTGGCAGGTACCGCCGGTAAAGCCATAGGTACCCAGTGCACAGACTGCACAAGTACCCCGTGCACAGAGCACACAGGTACCCAGTGCACGGAGCACACAGGAGACTCCACAGGTGCCCAGTGCACAGACTACACAGGCACCCCGTGCACAGACTGCACAGGAGACTCCACAGGTACCCAGTGCACAAACTCCACAGGAGACTCCACAGGTACCCCGTCCCCGTGCACGGACTCCACAGGTACCCAATGCACAGAGTCCACGGTGCAATGTGCAGTGCATACCCGTTGCCATGCCAAGCCCTGCCGTACCTGCTGAGCCGTGCTTTGTTGTACTTGCTGTGCCAAGCCCTGCCGTACCTGCCATACCTGCCATACTCGCCATATCCGCTCCCATGCCACACCTTGCCATACCCACTCCCATGCCACACCTTGCCATGCCACGCCTTGCCATACCCACTCCCATGCCACGCCTTGCCATACCCACTCCCATGCCACACCTTGCCATACCCACTCCCATGCCACGTCATGCCGTACCTGCCACACCCACTCCCATGCCACATCATGCCGTACCTGCCACACCCACTCCCATGCCACGTCATGCCGTACCTGCCACACCCGCTCCCATGCCATGCCCTGCCGTACCTGTCACACGTGCGCCGCGTTTCTTCGAGACGGATGCTAATGCCAGGACGATGTTTCGGACAAAAGACGGGAGATGGGTGTCCCCATATTGACGGTCTCAACTCTTCCACTGCTCCAGTGTGACACGGTAACTGTTCTACGTCACATGATCTGTCTGCTCACCTATTGTTTATGCGTGAGCTATCACGGAGGGTGCACTCACCCTGACGTCATGAACAGTATGACATTGTCCTCACGATGTCATCATTACATCATCAACATACCCTGATCTCATCACTATGTGATCATCAACACTATGTGTTGGCATCACCATGCCATCACCATCATCGTGGGCCGTTGTCCCAGCACAGCGGAGTCTGCTTTGCCGCAGTAGTGTGCCAAAGTGGGCACACCTGCACGCTTTCTCAAAGGTGTACGTTGCAAGGAAGAGGCTTTCGATTGTTTTTTTGAAAATACCTTCAATCCTTTGCATACCGGAGTTTGAACCGTATACAACTCACACTGTGTGTGTATACTTCTGTAGCCGCCTGTGCATTTGACCAACCATCCATCTGTTGTTTGTCCGTTCGAACTGTGCATAGTTTATGCTGTGTGCCTTGACCAGTCTTGTTTGCTTATACAATCTGCCCTCCAAGAGGAGGAGGTGCTGTGCTGTATGGACTGTGGACATGAAACATTGTGTCGCTTTTGCTCTGTCTGGCCCCCTGGCACAGGCTGTAGGATGTTCCTGTGTGCCGTGTGCACATACACACTTCGCTGAATGGCTGGGCCAATTTATAGATCTGTTACAAGTAATAGTCACTGGACTTCAAGTCTCTTCTTTTCTTTTATTTATAGAATGTTTTTAATGTGACTGTCGTCCGCCTTATCACTATGTCACAGTATGTGGCCAACACGCAGAGTTTTGCCTGCAGTTTTGTACTGTCGTATTGAAGTACATGTAGCTGCACATACTTCTGACACTGCTATGCCATTTTGGTAGTGATGTAGGTCACTAAGGTGTGCTCATCTATAGTAGAGGCTGCTGGCCTAGCGCCTAGCGCCTGTACACACACCTTTACTGACTTCTTTTCTGACACACTCTGGGAAGACTACAAAATTAATCCTTCTTCAGCTTTGCTCTTGCGTGAGGGGGAGGGGGTCGCGCACAGCAAACGATCAGTGCATGAGTAAGATCATGATGTATGTTGCCCGATGATCGTAGAAATACGTGAAACTCAGAGTTGCGGCACAGCTTCCAATCTCTCTCTCTTGTATACCGTATTTTCCCCATTAAACGTACACGTCTCCAATACTAGTACGTCCCCAATTGTAGTACATGTTGGGTGTGGATCGAAAATATAAAAGGACACGTCTCTAATAATAGTACATGCTGGAATGATGTGATGGGCATAAGTGGGGTACAGATACCAGGGTCACCTTACTTCGTTTTTCTTACCCGTTCATCATCTTTGTGTCTTTGTACACTGATTCTTACCATGGTTGGGTGTATTTACAGCCTTACAGCATCATTATCACGAGTTGTTTGCCACCCAACCCGAGGCAATCAATCTTCCCAGAAACAATAAAAGTACACGTCTCCAACACTAGTACAGGCTATACTGCTATAGTAGTACAGGTCTGACCACCTTTGAAAAAATAAAAGTACTGTACATTTATTGGGGAAAATACGGTAGACAGCATCACTAGCCCCGCTCTCTGGAGAGGTGTTTATGGCTGCATCAACAAACACCGCCGAGGATGCCCGCGCTGATGTCCGTGCCCGTGGCTTCTGGACCCGAGCACAGGATGCTTTCTTTGATGTACGCGTCTTCCATCCTGATGTGGCGTCCTACTCGGCCCAACCACTGGATGCCCTACTGCTTCAGCACGAGCGCCAGAAGAAGCTGCAGTACGGAGAGCGAATCGTCAATGTGGATCGTGGCACATTCAGCCCGCTGGTGTTGTCAACTTCTGGTGTTGCCGCCCCTGAATGTGAAAGGTTCCTTAAGCGCCTCTGTGGCTTGCTTGCCAGGGCTGATTCCAGCATGCCCTATGCACACCATGTTGCATATGTGCGCTGCAGGCTGTCTTTCGCGCTGCTCCGGTCCGCTGTCATGTGTGTCCGTGGGTCTCGGTCGGCATACCATCGTCCAGCTAACGAGCTCAGGGAGCTGGCAGTGGTTGAAAGCCGGATCTAAAACCATTTGTGTTTTAGTGTGACTCTCGCCATTCCGGAGACATATTGTCCACACCTGTGTAGTATTTTTAATATTATCTTCCTATCATACCCTGGTTTCTCATCATTGTGTCGCTTTTGCCCGTACAAGAGGCTTAATCACTAAAAAAAAAAAAAAAAAAAAAAAAAAAAGTAGACAGCATGGCAAGGCTTAGCCGATAGTTTGTTGCAGCTAATGTACATGTACAATGTAGTAGCAAGAGTAACATTGTCACTAGTAGAACGATGTTCAACCGAAGAAACAATACGAAATGGCTCCTCCTCCATTTCTTGACCGCCAGAGGCTGCGGTGGTGCCACGACCAGTTTCTATTCTGCTTGTGGGTGAGAGAATTCGAAGGATCTTCTATACGGTGTCCCCGATTTGTTTTCCGTTCATCGGTCAGCACTTTCTACAGCGTATCTCTACAGCCTAGAGACCTGCAAATCGGTATTGACTACCGGTATTGTGCATGTATTTCCTCATTTGTTCGATGGAGCTCCAAAAGGTGGTTGCCTGCCTGTCACAGTGTCAGGGGTTTTCTGTCTCGGTCGAAGGCAACAACTCTCCTGTCTCTGCTGGAAAGCAACCGCGCTAAGTAGTTACTAGCGCTCGGGTCAAAGTTAATGTTACGTAGATCTATGCATGGATTCTCGTTGAACGACGTTAGGGGTCGTCCACAATTATCGAACTTTTTTCACGAAACGAAATAATTTCGTTATGGGGTGGGCCATGGGAGGGGGTTGACCAATTTCGTTTCAGAAAACATTGATACATGTACATGTACATAGGAGCAGTTACACACTTGCAACTTTTGTTGTATTATGCATGCATATGTCAAACTTTTTTTACGTTCTGAGGGGGAGGGAGGGAGGGGTTGGGTCTAAACTAAAATAATTCGTTTGGTGAAAAACGTTCGATATTTGCGGACGGCCCCTTACGTTGGTGCTGTGCCATCAAAGGTACTTCAGTAGATCTACGTGTCACACAAATCGTGATAGATCTACGCAGTTGCAAATGATCAGTATCGACATCCTGGCGAAGATATGAAAGAAACTTTTCTGGTCCTGGCGTGTTGTGGGCTAGCGAACTGCATGTAGATCAACCTTATAACCTGGCGTGACGATAAACGAACTGATCCGTACATCACTTGCTGAATGAGAAACTTCTGGTGTGCACGAACTGTGGCGGGTACTGACCGGTATGACCTATTGTATGTGTCCAGTACAGGAAACATGGTCATGTAGTAAAGCGACACTCCCATTGACTAACGTGACCTTTAACTGTCTGACAAGATCTGTGTTCTCCTTTTCGCCATCATGCACAAGTCAAACACGAGCCTTCTGTCTTCCACACAACGACGTAAAGCCAGCGGAGATCGAAACTGATAGCAATGAGGAGCACGCGTCGCAGGTCTCTTCGTCTTCCCTGGCACTGTGGAAAGTGCCGCGGGTTACTCGGGCGGCGAGGGCCTGCATTCCGAGCTCAGTTAGTTGGGAGGTTGTAAGGATCATCGTTGAGGCCATCGGTGCTGCGAGCGCAATGTCCTAGAGATATCTGTAGCGTAGAATACATAGGAACACCGTGCCTTGATCTCAACCGAGCGGAGTGTTACAGTCGTCATATTTGCACAAAAGTCGGCGATGGATTCGTGAGGGTAGGCTGGCAGTAGCGCGTGCGCGGCCGGTGCTAGCTTGTTACGTTGCTATTCCTAGCGTTTGAACGGGACAGACTACATCACGAACATCTCGACACATACCACACGGCTACTATCAGACAGCAGTAGTAGCTACCAGCATTCTGGAGCTGTATGCTGGCTGGGCGGTGATGTAAATTGTTGGCCATGGCAAGCTAGTACTAGTAGACTCTACTGGGCCATGGGGAGGCACGTCGAAGGAGAGATGCAAGCCAGGAGGGAAGGTTCCGAAGAAGAGATGGAGTACTCAACACAGGGCATTGTTGAAAGGAAGTTTGTTCTCTTCCGCTATGGTCGGAGCTGAAAGAGCGGGCGAAACACAGTCCGTCAAGCCTTGAAAACCTCTTCCTCAGTCCTCCAAAAGCCGCCGCGACTGTAAGTCATAGGAAGCATCGGTTCCTATAATTGGTCGCCGGTCGTCCCACGAATTGTGCTGTGGATTGTGCGGTGGGATATTATTTGCAGTGGAAGTGCGAAGTGCACTCGAAGTGTTGAGGCCCAAGACAAACACTTCTTTTCGTTAGAGGTGTGCATGGTGAGCTGCTGCACTGGGCCAAGTGCTCATGGGTTGTGTTCATCGACCGGAAGCGAACTGGGCAGTTGGCACACTGTTACTCGGAGTCGGTAACTGTGAAAATTCGCTGAATACATGTTAATTAGCCCGGGCCCGCTCCTGTACGAGATTAGCGGAGGATGATGGACTGCCATCACCGTGTGGAGATCTGCACATACGTGTGTTTCTTTCTTTCACTGCTGCTGACCCGCAGCCAGTCTGCAAGCCTGAGACTGAGAAGATCAGACATTGGCACGGATCTTCTCTCCAGAGTGGGGAGCACTGATACCGATGCAGACAATGTAATCCTGCAGAGTAGCCAGCTAAATATTCGGCCAGCAACAAATGGCGAAGAGGAAAATAAACGAAGACCATTGGAAACAATGCGACTGCCTCGCTCTGCACCAAGACGACCTCAAGTCAAAATAACGGACTTGCTAGTAAAACCTCGAGTCAAAGTATCGCAGCAACACACCAACTACCAACAGAAGCGAGGAAGACAATATCTGCTCCATAGAGACCTCGACACAATGCCATTGTCTGAGAAAATCAGGCTAGACTTATTGAAAGGCATACAGCTGGACAAAGTCAAGGCCAAGCCCAAACCAATTCCATTGGCTAACACCTTCGCGGGATCACCTCCAAAGAGCCCAGCCATTGCTAATCCTCAGCCCAAAGTACCCACGGATACTGGAAAGAGCAAGCCAAGTGATGCAGACAGCCAGGTATCCTTCAACAAACCTGTTCGGTTGAACGTGCTACCGGCCGCGGGTTCCGTGAGGAGACGTCCAGGTGCAGATATACTCGTTAAAGTTGACATGTCCACCATCGGCACAGGCACAACTGATGTTCCTGGCATACAGGATGCGAATGAAGATCCTCCAGCAGCAGTGGCAGCAGTGGGCATATCTAGCCCTAACGCTGATCCAGTACTACCTCTGGATCCTCCCAATCACAGTACCGGCATTAGGCACAGCGGTGCTACGGGACATGTTGCACACTCGTCAGCGACGGGATCATCCGGCGGCTCTGACCGACCATCCCAGTCACAGGTAGTTATTATGGCCGGCACACAAGACATTCCCGGCGCTGCAGCGGCAGCTGGAGAGGATGTGCAGCGGCTGCCCTGTGTGATGTTCCCGACGAATCCACCGCCAGCCGCGGACGAACCGGCGTCTTCAAATCTGCATGACCCTCCGAGCATCGATCATGGCGGACCAGGTGGTGATGGAGACACGAATGGTGGTGATGGGGATGGTGAAGACAAAGATGCCAACACGCCAGCGATAGACATTGGTGATGATGATGAGTCTGCACAGACAGGTGCACACGACTGGAACCCGGACTCCACTCACAACACTGTGCAGAATGCCGCTGCACAGGATGATGATGATGATGATGACAGCAACGCGGACAGCTCCGATGCGGATAGTTCTAACGATGCGGCTAGTGTTGATTCTGTAGAGTCAGTCAGCTCCTAATCCAGCATCCATCACCATTGAAAGCTATCACAAACGCTGTATTTTAAATTGTTTTATACTGGTCATTTCTTATAATTTTGAGCTCAAAGTGTTTACTCGTTGACACATCGGAAGCTGCTTTTCAAACTCAATTGTCCGCAACAGGGCTGGTTTTCGTTTGCTGGATACTTGGCAGCCTTGAT